CAGAGGGGAGGAGGAACAAGGTCTCTATTTCCAGAGAGCGTTACCATAACAAAGCACTTTAGACACGATCTGATCCAACCTCTGACGGCCGCAGAGACCTAAAGAAAGGTAGTGGCTTGTCCAAGATCACACACCAGGCAGCGCCAGGCACGGGGCCGGGCTTTGCCACAGCACAGGCTGCCAGGTGGGCCGTGTGTGCATGTGTGCGGTGTATGCATGTACACATGAGTGTGTTTGTGTGTGGTGTGTGTACGCGTGTGTATATATGTGTGTGCGTACATGTGCGGCACATGTGTGCACACATGCGTGTGTATGTGTGTTGCGTGTACATGTGTGTATGTATGTGTGAACATGTGTGGGTGGGAGTCCATGTGTGCGGTACGTGTGTACACATGCACCTGTATATCTGTAGTGTGTGTACACGTGTGTATGTATGTGTGTACATGTGTGGGTGGGAGTCCATGTGTGCGGTACGTGTGTACACATGCACGTGTATATCTGTAGTGTGTGTACGCATGTGTATGTATGTGTGTACATGTGTGGGTGGGAGTGCATGTGTGCACACATGCGTGTGTGTCTGTGTGGTGTGTGTACATGTGTGTATGTATATGTGTACATGTGTGCGGTGTATGTGTGTACACTTGTATGTGTATGTGTGGTGTGTATGCATGTGTACATGTGTGTGCATGTGTGTGGTGTATTGTGCACACATGCGTGTGTATGCGTGTGCTGTGGTGCTTATAATGACCTTCACATGAAGACATCTAACATTCCTCCATTTTGTTCAAATATCACACACCTTCCAGAGATCATGCCCCACCGCAGAAGCACTTTCCAGATCTTTGAACCTAGAACAATTGGCGTATTGATCCTACACTTTGGCATGTGGGGGAGAGGAGCTTGTATTTTTTTTAAAAAAAATCTCTGCCAATGAGCTCAGCAAAGGAGCAGGATGCAGGCAGACAGCATTCGCTGGGAAACAGCCCGGAACACTCAGCATGTTTGCATGTGTTGCGACAGGCCGACGGAAATTCTGGCTAAAACTACCACTTCGAGCCAAGATACACTGTAAAGAAACAGGAATCGGTGCATCTGAAGGGTAATTAGCACGCTCGGCTGCCGGAACAAGCTGAAGCGCGGATACCCTTTACTGTCTCCCAGCTCAGCTTCGGCCCCGAGGAAACAAGCCCAGAAGTGACGTCTGTGGTGGGGGAAGGACAGCCTTCCAGAGAGGAGGACGGGCAGCACAGGGGCAGAGGGCCACGCCGAGACACAGCCACTCACAAACAGGAGGAGCCCCTTCACTGTGCTCATGGGGGGGGGGGCTGGCACAATTCTGCCCCCAGGGGCCGGAATAGACACGGGAACCCCCCTGGCCCAATGTCATCCTCAACGCCTGTCTCTGACCAGAGACACATAGAGCCTTGGCAATTTTAGACGGGAAATAACGCTTCTGAGAAGAGCGGAGAAGGAGAACTTCAGGCCCAAGGCAGGAATAAGGAATCACAGACGCCTGAGCAGGTGGCGAGACACAAACTGGGCAACGGTGCTGGCCGTGCAGGATTTTCCCGGAAGAAGTGACGAGCAAAAGGGAACAACTGTCACTGAACGTCATGTGTGATGTTGGGGGGGGTGCCTAGGGGTGGACTGAGTGAGATTCAGGATAAGCTTTAGGAAGAGGGTCCAAGAGAAGCTATGAGGATCTGGAAGGTGGAAGGTGCTTCCTCTCAGGTTGGGTTCCAGCCCGCCCTGCACAGCGCAGCTCATTGTCCACCCTGGACAGCCTTTCCCGCCCTCGGGGAGGTCAAGGTTCCCAGGGAAGAACCTTGCTGAGCAGTCACCTCCCCCTCCGTTCCCTCTGGTGTCCCGCACAGTCTGGGAAGAGAAGTCACCGGCACCTGGCACACACAGACATATCCAGAAACACAGCGTGTGTGTGTGTGTGTGTGTGTGTGTGTGTGTGTGTGTGTGTGGAGGGGCAGGGGGCTCAGAGCAACCTCCTCCTGCAGGTTCTTTGGGCCAGAGACCCTCTTCTTCCTCCTTGGGGACTCCATGGCCAGGGCAAGGTGTGTGTCTGTCTGACCTGCCATTTCTGGGAGGGCTCAGGTGGAGACAAGCATTTGGTTCCAGGCTCCTTCCATGGGGGCCTTCTTCCAGCCCCCAGTGGCCCAGTTCCCCCTCACTGGCAAGACAGAAAAGAGCCCTCGTGGAGAGGAATCTGAGGAAAGCTGGGTCTAGCACCAAGGTCATGGTGGCTGGTCCTGACTGTCCTTCCTGGGGCACAAGGAGCAGTGGCCATCCTGCCAGGCAATCTGTGGGGTGTGCCTGGCCTTGTTTAGAGCAGGGCTGCTTCTTCTTCTTCTTCTTTTAAAATTTGAGACAGAGTCTCACTCTGTTGCCCAGGCTAGAGTGAGTGCCGTGGCATCAGCCTAGCTCACAGCAACCTCAAACTCCTGGGTTCCAGCGATCCTCCTGCCTCAGCCTCACCAGTAGCTGGGACTACAGGCATGCGCCACCATGCCCGGCTAATTTTTTCTATATATTTTTAGTTGGCCAATTAATTTCTTTCTAATTTAGTAGAGACGGGGTCTCACTCTTGCTCAGGCTGGTCTCAAACTCCTGACCTTGATTGATCCTCCCACTTCGGCCTCCCAGATTGCTGGGATTACAGGCGTGAGCCACCGCGCCTGGCCTAGAGCAGGGCTTCTTAAGTGGGAGCGCCTGATGGAATTCAGGGGCCACAGGAAGATAAAAAAAAAACAACAAAAAAAAACAACCCAGAGAAACCGACTCTTTGCTCTGGGAGGAGACTAAAGGAGAATTTGAGCCTGCCCAGGGGGCAAGGAAAGGCCTGAGGCAGGGTCCTTCCGTGGCTGCCAATGCCTTCCCTCCCAGGAACCAGAGCAGACTCATGACCTGCAAACCGCCATGGGAACCAGGGAGCAGAGTGAGTGGAGGTGGCCACAGAGCACACAGGGAACGCTTGGGCGTTCCCGATGGAGAAGACAGAGAAATCTGATGGAAACAGAGCCAGACAAACCAGAAACACCAGCTCCGCCTGGTCCAACTGCCTCTCCCAGCCAGGACGCCTCGGGGAACCTGGCCCCCTGCAGGAGCCTCCCGAGAGGTGAGGTGGAGGGGACACACCCACAGGGCTGGTCCTGGGGAGGTATGTGTTAGCGTCAGCACAGCCCTCCCCTGCCTGAAGCCCCCTGGAAATCTTGGGGTGGAGAAACAGGGAGGGAGCGAAGGAAAGCCCATCAGATGGATGTTACGCGCCGACACCAAGGCTGGAAGCAGACACTCAGCCAACAGCCCGATAGGTGGCTCTGGGGGCACCCAGAGCCAGTTTGAGATCTTTCTGGAGCTATGAGCCAGGACCCCAGACTGGGACGGAGTGGGGGTGGGAATGGGACGGGGAGACCCTTGTGCAGAGAAGAGAGTAGGTTGGCTTGAGCTGTGCCCGGGGCTCTAGCCGGAAATGGGGGCACTCTGCTATCCAAATCTCCCTCCCAAAGCGGCGGGTGAGCAGCTGCCAAGGCTCCGAAGGAGCGGGGAGGAGGCAGGTGCTCTGGAGGCGGCATGACCTGGAGCGGAAATCTGGCAGGAGAGGAGCCAGGAGCCCGGACCAGGGCAGAGGGCACCGAGAACAGCAGAGGCCTTTAGGCCTGGGGCGCGGGGACTCCTCTGCCAGCCACGTCCCTCCCTCAGCTCCACACAGAGCCCACTCAGGAACGGGGGAGCAGCGGAGGCAGAAAGCTCGAGCTGGGGTGTGTGTCGGGGGTGGGGTGGGAGAACGGGTGGGGGTCCGTCTCCTTTGTCACCTTCCTCCTCCGGCCCCTCCTTCTCTCCTAAGGGCCTGGCCTAATCCCGGTGACCCGTGCTGGTTTGCAGTGGGCAGCACACACCGAGGGTTTGTTCACTTGTGTGTCGTCATGCTTCCTGGGAACCCTTTGTATTAAAGTATCTGGTCTAAAACGTCTCCACGAATGTCCCTGTCAGGCCCTGCGCCTTCTCCTGGGTCCTAGCCCTTGGTCCTGCCGCCCCCAGTCACAGAGGGTGGCGGGAGCCAACCGTTCCCCACACTCAGATTGGAAAAGTGCCAGTGAGGGGCTCAGCGGAGGTCTTCCCTGAGCCTGGCCCCATAAGGCACTTGTTTCGACTTAAGCTGGGTGGGGAGGTGGGTAGGGGGAATCCGTGGGAAAGAGGGTTTCTACATTTGGCAAAGCACATCCCTGACCCCCTTCCCTGTCTCCAGGTGCCCACTGGGCCTGCAGTGGCCTTCAAAGCAGGTTCGCCTCTTCCCATGAGGCTCCTGCTAAGTGCCCTGTACTTGTCCCCACTCCCTGTGCCACCTCCCATACGGCAGTGCCCCTCCTGAGCCCACACGCTGGTCTCGGTGACATCCTCACCCAGCCCCACCGGGCCTGGGACACCCCCGGGCCTGGGCGCTAGACACCGGCCACAAGCTGAAGGTGCCAGCACTGGCAGCCCAGGAAGGGCGGCGTGCAGCACACAACAACCCCCAGAGTGCAGGAGCCTCGGCCCCCAGCACAGGTGGGCAAGACAGCACTCGGGACTGATCCCTGGCACAGGATGTGAAAGAGAAAGCCGCCCAGATCCAGGGCTCCCAGCAGGAGAACCGTGGGCAGGAGACCCTCAGCCTCCTGTGGCTCTGGACAGACGCTCCTGGCGGCAGCCCCCAGGGAGCCACCCACCCTCGCCTGGGAGCGTGCTTGTTGTCCAGCTTGTGGGGCCGGCCGCGGCTCCACCCTGTGGGAACCGGCCAGGAGCTCGGCTGCTCGGGCTCATCGCAGGCCCTGCCCGGGGCCAGCAGCCCTCGATTCCCTGCGCCCCTGGATGCGTGCGCCCCTCGGTCCCCGCCCACGCACGCACGGAAGGGGCGCAGGGACGGCGCGCACGGAAGGGGCGCAGGGACGGCGCGCACGGAAGGGGCGCACAGAAGGCGCGCACGGACGGCGCGGGCGCCCGGCCTTTACCTCGGTTGGAGTGGCTCAGAGTGGACGACTGGGAAGACTTGGACTTATGCCGCTTGACGGTCATCATCACCTGCTCCTGCACGCGCTGACTGCCCGAAGTGCCTGTCTTCATCTTTTGGTCCGACGGCAAAGCCAGCGTGGAGTTGTCCTGCGCCTGGAAGCATTCGTACGCCAGGGCGGTCTTGAGCGGCGAGTGGTTCATGGTGGCGCGGGGGGCGCGGGCCGGGCCTGGGCGAGCGAGCGCGGCGAGGTGCGGTGTGGCGGCGGCGGCGGAGCGGGCTCTTCGGGCTCTTCTCGCTCTCAGCGGCTCCCTGTGGCCATAGAGTGAGTGGTCCGCGCGTGAGGGCTCCCGGCGGCTGCTCCTGGTGCCTCCACCCCGGCTCGTCCCTGCACTGGCGAGGCCCGCCCTCCGTCAGACAGGATATACCACCCCTGCCCTGCACCACCCACTCCGCCGGCTGCGCGCTCAGACACGGAGCTGCAGGGCACCGCCGCGGGAGCCAGCGCACCTGGGGGGCAGGGCTGCCAGTCCCCAGTGTGAGACTCCCCGCGTCTCCCTTCCCTCGCGTCCTTTCTCTCCCTGCCCTCGCCCCGTGAGCAAGGCAGGTTGCAGGCCCCGGGGCCCCAGGGAGACGCCCCTCTGTCCTGTTCCTGCTGGCTCATGGAGAAAGTATGTGCTCAGCTCAGGCACCCAGGGAGCCTTCTCTCTAGGAAAAAAGGAGTCTTTCTTGACCTGGCTGCCTGGGAGACCAGGTGCCCGTCCCCTGCTGTGCTGAGGTCATGGCAGAGACCAGCCTGCCGGTGGGGGCTCCCAGGCTCTTGGGGGGAGCACAGCTCCTGCCCAGAAGGAACACTGGATCTCCGTGGTGACAACCCTTCTGCTCTAAGTCAGCCTCCAGTCTGAAGGGAGTGGGGGCAGAAAGGCCACACCAGACTTGAGATATAAAACCACAAAGCAGTACACCTGTCATTTGTGGGTATGCCCTGCTAAGCACCACGTGGACGGTGGATCCTCTCTGAAGCTGCAATACGTACACCCTCCTAAAACAGCGCCTGGCACGTATTAGGCACTCAGTAAAAAAATTACAATATGTGTAAGTGAATGAATGAATGACAGCGGACTTAAGGTGAATTAAGTCTAACTTGACTCCCACCCAGATCCTTACTGAAAACCTGGAGAGCCGTCTTGCCCCTAAAAAGACTCCCCTGTGGACTTGTGAGGGCCCGAGCGTGCGTTCTCCCGTGCACACTCACATGCCCACACACGCGTGCAGGCAGGTAGCATCCTCACGGGGTAGCCCGCACCAGGGAATTTGGAGTGTGACAAGAGCTGAGTATTTTTTGAAAATATGTACTTTGATGGAAATCTTTCTAAAAGGCATCACCCTCTGCCTTTCCTCCTAAAAGCAAACGGCACTGACCCTCCGCGCCGAGCTCTGCGGTGACGCCGGCTTCTCGTTCCGGACGCCCACTCGTGGACCGCGCAGTGCTGCAGTCCGGCCGGCTTCGCAGCGTCTGGGCTGCACCAGCTGTGCGAGGCCATCGCTGCCGTCACTCTTGCTGTCGTTCATGTGAACGCTCACACGCTTCGCATCTAGTTTGCCCTCCTCATCTGCAGAGGAAGGGACAGTTAGAAACCCCATGCTCGCTGAAATTACATGTCGAGGAGAGAGAGAGAGAAAATGGAGTGACCGCTTCAGGGACCACACGGAGGTAGGTCACACCCGTGCTTCCTGAGAAGTGGGCTTTCCATGCGGGGAGCCCCAGTACTTCCCTAGAAGGCATGCCTGGTGTTACCATAAGAGCAGATACAGTTTCCAACAGAAACAGTTTTCTAACTGAGGGTTGTGCTCCTACCAGAGATGTGACCAAAAATATGTCACGGATAGACGCGAAACACCTGTGCACGCCTATCACCTCTTAACGTCATACGATTCCGCTCTCAGCCATAGACGGCCAGGGCTGGACGGGGCCTTGGACTCCATCCAGCCAAGCTCCAAATTCCACTGATGGGGAGAGGAAGCCGTCTGCCCCGCAGCGCTCTAGCCAGGCCTGGTGACTCCTGGTCCAGTGCTCATTCCAGCCTCCCTTATAAAAGTCCTATAAAATGGGCATTAAAGTACACTGCACACTGATTATACAAGGGCCCCAATGTACTATAAAGTACACACGACAGCATATAAAAAATACAACTCCATTGTATCACAGATTTGGCCTATCTAAAACCTAATATGCTAGCTATAATAAACGTTAATTAAGTCTTTAAATAATGATGATTTTGTTACCTTCCAGGAAGTAGAAGGGCCCCGAAGGAGGTGATTGGAGTAGCCCATGTTCCTATAAAAGGCAAGTCCACGGAAGCTGAAACCGAGTATCTTTAAAATCGCTTCCAGGTACAAAGTCCAGTTTTTCTGGCTACTTTTCTATTATTTTGACATATTGGTGGCAATCGCCAACACTTTACTATGCTCCCAGCACCAGGCCTACAAGCCAGGCGTGGCTCGGAGCTTTTTATACGGACCATATGGCCATTTGAGTCCTTACTGCGATTCTATGAGGTGGGTGCCATCGCCATCACCCTTCTTTCTCAGGCGAGGAAATTGGGGTTCGGTGAGGCCACCCAGTGTGCAGTGGGCAGAGATGAGGCCCTCGAGCACAGGCGGCCTGGATCCGGAGGCTGGGCACGCCGTGGCAGGGCCAGGCGGCCTCCTCATGTTTCCCCTCGACAAGCAGTGGGTTCCAGGGATCAGTCTTCTAACAGCACCCTGCTTCCATCCCACGGCACGGGGTCCCAGCCCCAGCTGTGTCCCTAACTAGCTTCACGGTGTCAGGCGAGTCCCTTCCTCCACCCCGGGCATCAGATCTGTCAGGCGACGGCTCCTAACATCCACTCTAGCCCCAACGCCCCGCAATTCTGGTGTCAGAGTTGTGTGGATGTGCAGAGCAGGAGAGTCTTGGACCGGGTGGCTTCCAGCGGAGGAGAAGGAGAGGACGGGACGGTCAAGTCGGGGCCGGGGGAGGGAGGTGCGAGGTGGAAGGGTTGCTCTGAGGCTCAGGTGTGTGGTTTTGAGCCAGCAGGCCAGAGCTGTTCCCATCACCTGTCTCTTTTCTGCCTGCCTGAGTCCCACCCCACCTGGGGCCCCGTATCAGAAATCAAGCAGGAAAGAGGGTGACACTGCTAACGTGAATAACAGATGTCGAGGAGGCATGGTCGCATGACCTGCACTCTGAAATGACATGCTTCCAGATGACTGTCAGGACATATATGCAGATGGTAAAAAAAATTCTAACGAGCGTGAGTTCATTTGAGCTGGGAGGGTGCGGGGGTGGTCTGGGGAAAGCCTCCCAAAAGAAGTTAATTTTGACATGATTCTGAAACAAGACCAGTGAATTGTCATCCTTGAAGCGATGAGCATGAACGGGCTTCCGATCCTCTTTGCTGCCAGTCCTAGAGGAGCGTCAAACGCAACCTAGAATTCGCTGTCCACACTCAAGGCTGGCAGACTTCGCGTCCCGTGACCTCAGCGTCCACTAACAGGTGGGATATGGATTCAGTTACTCAGCAAGTATTGACTGAGCATCTACTGCGTGCTAGGTCCTGTCCCGGGCACGGAGCATACAGCGGTGAAGATGAGGTTTGTGTCCTCATGGAGTTTACCTTCTAGAGAGGCGGGGAGGCGGGAGGGCTGGCCCAGCGCGGGCTGAGAGGCGGTTCTCCAGGACTCCTGCCGCTTCTAAGGGTGTCCGGGCTGAAGCTTCTCCTTGCTCAGTGTCAGCCTCCCGGGTGAGGCGACCACTTGGAGCTGAGTCCCCAGCGGATGTGAGCACCCCCAGGATGCTGGGCAGAGGTCACCTTCCCTTCTGAACCCCTGTGCTTGCGTCCTAGAGGGACAGGCACAGAGTAAACTTGTCCATGAGCAGGCAAGATGGTCGCAAATTATACTGAGTGCTGTGAAGCAAACAAAAGAGAGGCTGGGAGAGGAGACGGGGACAGTGTTAGCCACGGTGGGCGGGGCACGCTGGGTGGGCCAAGACCTGAAGCGGGAGGGGTGGCTGCCCGTCTCGGGAGCGGGGGACGGCGCTGCAGGCAGAGGGGACAGTGAGTGCACAAGCCACGACCATGGCTCGTCCTTGGAACCGGCAGGCCGGGAGAGCGGTGGGCTGTGCTGTCCGGCGCGGCTTTCTGTGATGACGGAAACGGTCCGGGTCTGGGCTGGCGATCTGAATCACTTCCAGTTACATGAAGTAAGAATTCAGTTCTGTAGACACGTCGGCCCTGTGTCGGCCCAGTGCTCCAGCGCCGCGGGTTGCTGGCAGCCGCTGTATCAGTGCAGGGTCACACTGGGCCTTCCACACTCCGGTTTGAATTTTATTCTCAGAGTAATGAGAGGCCATTAAAGGGCCGTAAACGAGGGGTGACAAGACATTCCCACCTTCTGCCGTCCCACCACCCGTCAATCCCATCCTGTCCCTGTGGAGGAATCTCCTGGCCAAATGCAGTCCCCTCCTGGGGCTCTGTGCCCGGTGCCTGCCTGTGTTGTCACCCTGGTCTCATGCCCTTGTCTACAAGTGGCTGTAGGGCCTTGAACAGCCTGGGGGAAGGGAAGTGCAACATGCATCTCTGTTTCCTCACTGTCCACATGACTGGTACACATCAGGTGCTCAATAAATGTTTGTTTTGTTGAACTGAGCCCACATCTTTTTCTGGAGCAAGGCCACGTGCCAGACCCTTCCCGGGTCTTTTGAGTGACTGGGGCTCAGAGCATCTCTCAGGACCCTTGTCCTCGGTCCTGCCGGCAGGGACGCCCTCAGAACTCACGCAGCCCCCACCCATCTCCCTGGGCTCCCGCCAGAGCACGGGGCGCCTGCCTTTCTCACTCCCTAAGGGACACTGACGTCAGGAAGTGGGAATTTGCTCGACCCTGGCGCCGTGCTGGACATCTCAGGAAAAATGACCTGCGAAGCCGTCCTCACAAGGGTCAGGGCAGACCATGCCTCGCAGAGACCCCGCAGCGGCTCCTTCCAGACTCCTGCACCCGCACCGCCCTCTGAGAGTCCCAGGGCCAGGAGTGGGACAGACCCCAGCCTGGCCGCTGTGTGAGGGGTGCCACCCTCGGTACCAGCTGCGGCCACTGTGCCTGCAAGGTGGGGGGTGTGCAGAGAGGCCCCCAGCCGTGGGTGGGGGAGAGAAGGATAAGGGGGTAGGTGGGGACAGCAGAGGCCACTCCCCCGCCATGGGCAAGCACCCCAATGAGAGGACCAGAGCATGTGGCCACGGATCCCCCATGCCTGAGGGCTGGTGCCGGAGGGCAGCCTGCCTGTGCCCCTGCACCAGCCTGCTCCACTCTGGAAGGAGCTGGGGGAGGCCTGGCAGTGGGAGGGGAGAGGCAGAAAGGGGCTGGGCGTGGAGGCCCAGCAAGGAGGGCCCGAGTGAGTCCCAGGCGTGCT